GAGGAGGGGCTGTGTTGAAGGCCTAAGTGTGTTCTTGGTTCTGAAGGACTCTGTGCTCGGTGCCCGCTGCCCCTCAGCAGCTGCAGCTCTCGGCCGAGGGCTTGGCCCGATCGTTCTTGTCCAGTTTGATGGGTTCGGGGAACTCATTGTACAGCTCCACCTCTGTCTCCTGGAGTGGGGGACGGGGAGCAAGAGAGAGCAGTTATCAGGACCCGCTGGGTGGGGCGGAACGTCACCTTCAGAGGGCAGCAAGAGACAACAGATATGGGAGATGCTGCGAATGTCCCCAGCCAATGCCCACACATGGGCTGTGCCCGCTGGCAGTGCCCCCTGCATGACACAGGGCTGCCAGGACTTCAGCAGGCTTCATGGTGGTCTTTGCTCCCCGGGAGCCAGGGCCAGAGCTGCACACCAGCTGCCCCAGCCCCGGACGCTCCCCCACACCCCCACCGCCCGCTCGTCTTTCTGGGCTGCTGCTCTATGGCCTGTTTTCTTTTCTTTTTCTTCCAAAAGCTTAGGAGAGGTTTGCTTCTCACACACTACAGATTTAGTGTTACGGCTTGTGTTTAGATGTCTCCCCAAAGCCTCATGCAGTCATAGGTGGGGCTTTTTCAGAGGTAGCTGGATCTAGAATGTGTGGTGCTGGGATAATTCACGGTGCAATGCTAAGATCAGGGGCACTAGGATTGGGGCCGAGGATGCAGCTCAACAGCACAAGCGCCTGCCTGTTTGATTTCCGGTACCAAAAAAAAAAAAAAGCAGTAGGATTAAGGGTTTGAGTGCTGCCCGCCTAAGTAGGCTGGGTGAGATGAAAGGGGTAGAAAGCTGCAGTTGTCCTTTGCGTGCTTTCCCCTGCCTGCCTGCTGTGGAGTATTTCTCCTCTGCGATGCCCCTGCTATCCACCTGCCTGGAGCCAGCCGATTATGAGCTGAAACCTCTACAAACTGTGAGCTGAAATAAACTTTTCCTCCTTTAAATCTGGGTGTTGGATATTTTCTCTCAGCAGCGAGAAAAGTAAGACACTTAGGAGCACAGGTGCGCGGCACCCTACTTTCCATCCTGTGTGCGGGAGCTGCACTCTGTGCTTGGCTTTGGAGGGAAAGCAGGGGGTGCTTCTAGTTTAGGGTTCCATCCTGAAGTATTTCTCCTGGGTTCCATCCCCAGCACTGCAATAGAAGAACTGCCTAGAAAAATTATTCACATACTTTAGTGTACAGCTCAGCAGTTTCGTGTACTTACAAACCCGGCAGGCATCACCACCGTCGGTCCGGAACATTCATCGCGCCAAAAAGCAGCCTCTCCCACCCCAACCCTGGCTCCGGCAGTCACTCATTTACTTCCTGTCTCACAGGTTTCCTCTTCTGACCTGCTGTTTTCCTTCAGAGCCAGGGATGCAGCCCCAGGCCCCTGAGCCTCGTCTTAGGTCTAGACATTTCTTCAAACAGAATCGCACAGCGGGAGGCCCTGTGAACAGCCCTTTCTGCTTAGCACCTTGTCACAGTATCTGTCAGCTCTTTCCTTCTGACAGGTGAATAATATTCTAGTGCATAAATAATCAAACTTTCTGGTTTCTTTCTTTCTTTCTTTGGCTTTTGAGACAGGGTCTCGCGAAGTAGTCTGGATTGGCCTTAAACTCACTATGTGGCCCAGGCTGGCCTTCAGCTCTCAGTGATCCTCCTGCCCCGGGCTCCTGAGTGCTAGGATGACAGGCATGTGCCTCCACACATGGCTTAGCCATGTTTATTAACTTGTTACTTGGTGGACACTCGTTTCTACTTTCTGGCCATGACAAACAGCAACATTCTGTGCCTCCGGTTCCTAGGACTATGTGCAACACGAAAGGCAGTGGAACCGAACAAGTATAAAATCCTGCTGAAGGGTATAAAGCAGGGCCTCAAATGACAGCTGCTGTGGGCAGGGTGGCTGTGTCCTTCGAAGTTCCACGCCAAAGCCCTGCGCCACTGTGCCTGTGTCTGGGCCCCACTGTGGGTCCCTGGTGGGCGCCGTCCTCGAGGCACGACTGTTCCTTAGACACACTTAGGCTGTGTCGCCCAGCCAGGAGGAACTGTTCCCGAGACCTCCTGTCTTTAGGGCACCATGCCCGCCCAAACCACAGCCAGGGCCTCCTGCTGGTGGCAGACCCCGCCTTGCCCTTCGCAGCCACCCCTGCTCCTCCGCAGCTCTCCTCCCGCACCAGCAGCTGTCACCATGTGTGGTGACGCCTCGAGCCCACCTTCACCAGCCATGGTGCCCAGCAGAGCTGCTCCACCTGCACCACCTCTGTCCCACCTGTGGTCACAGCCACTGTCTCGGGGAAGGTTAGCAGGAGCTCCAAGACTGGGTCCTGGCTAACATTTCCTTTCGTGTCTGTCGCTCACTTGAAAGAGAATCCCCTTGGAAAGCAGACAAGAGGACAGCAGCACGGAGGAAATGAAAGCTCCCGAACTCATGACTGACACAGAAGCCACCATCTGTCCGGGCCCCTCGAATGCCTGACCTCCCAAGAGCACAGGAAGAACCAGGGCAGCACAGACACACAGGCTGGCCTTGGCCCAGGGCTCCACGACCACGCCTCCCGCTGATCCAAAGGGGGTGGGCTCCCTGGGACTAAGCAGAACTCGGCATCTTCCCTGAGGACCCACCTGCTTAAGCGCATTCCGGGCAATCGTCTGGAATGCCTGCTCCACGTTGATGGCTTCCTTGGCACTGGTCTCGAAGTAGGGAATGTTGTTTTTGCTGTAGCACCAGGCCTGTGCCCTCTTTGTGGCCACCTGGAGAAGGAAGCGGGGCCCCAGTGGGCAGTAACCCAGCCAGCTGCACAGACT